GGCTGTGGGTGGCAGCGCAACCTCCCGATCCGCCCTGCTCTGTGAATGACGGGGCCGGCACCCCAATTCCCCAATCGGCCCTGCTCTGAGCCTGACCAGGGGCTGCATCTAGGGATTGGGCCTGCCCTCTGCCACCCGGGAGCAGGCCTAAGCCAGCAGGTCGTTATCTCCCGAGGGGTCCCAGACTGTGAGAGGGCACAGGCCGGGCTGAAGGACCCCTGCTCCCCCTTGAGTGCACAAATTTTTGTGCACCAGGCCTCTAGTAAATTTATAATTAAAATACTTTCCAAAAAGAAAAGCCCAAACACATATGATAGAATCTACCAAGCAGTCAAAAAATTAATTCTGAGCCTTCAAACTCTAAAACAAAAGGAATACTTGCAACGCATTTTATAAAGTCAACATTACCCTGACACTAAACCAGACAAAAACATCACAAGAAAACTATGGGCCAGTATCTTGGAAATACATATGCAAAAAATTAAAAAGAAAATACTAGGTAAATTAGTATATTTGTGTTCCTATAATCATCAACATATAAAGTATTTATATATCATGATGCAGTAAATTATCCTCAGAATGCACAAATGGCTTAACTGGTTATCAATTAATATAATACACCAATTAATAGCATAATTTGACAAAATCTAACACCCATTTCATCGTAAAGCATTCCACAAACCAGCAATAAAAGAAAACTTCATCAACCTGGTAAAGCCATCTATGAAAAACCTACAACTAACATCATACTTTTGGTGAAAAGACTGGGTGTTTCCCCATTACAATCAGGAATAAGACAAGGATATCCTCTCTCATCACTTCTATTCAACATTATACTGGAGGTTCTAGTCAGGGAAATTAGGCAAAAAAAAATAAAATAAAAAGGCATCCAAATTAAAAAAGAAGAATAAAACTATACGTACTTGCATTTTACATGTATTCTAGGGATTCTATTAATAATCTCTTAGAACTAATAAATAACTTCAGCAGTTGTAGAATGTAAGATCAATACACAAAAATCAACTGTTTTATACACGTGCAATGAACAATCCAAAAATGGGAGGAAAAATTTCACTTACAATAGCACCAAAAAGAATAAAATACTCAGAGTAACCTAAGTATAAAACCTACACTGAAAACTATGAGACATTATTCAACAGATTTACAGAAGAGCTAAATAAATAAAAAGATAACGCATGATGCTAGATCAGAAGACCTAATGTTAAGATGACAATACTTCCAAATTTTGAATTCCTATCAAAATACCAGCTGACTTCTTTTTAACAAGCTGATCCTGAAATTCATATGTAATTACAAAGAATCAAGAATAGCCACACACTACCATTTGCAACAGCACGGATGGAATTGGAGAGTATTATGCTAAGTGAAATAACCCAGTCAGAGAAAGATAAATATCACATGATCTCACTCATTTGTGGAATATAATGAACAACATAAACTGACGAACAAAAACAGATCCAGAGACAGAGAAGCATCAATCAGACGGTCAAACCTCAGAGGGAAGGTAGGGAAGGGAAGGGGGGAGGGGGAAAGATCAACAAAAGGACTTAAAAATAAAGTAAAAAAAAGAATAGCCACACACAAAAAAATGTCTTGAAAAAAAGGATGAGGTTAGAGGACTCATACATCTTCATTTCAAAACTAACTACAAAGCAATAGTAATTGAAAAAGTGTGGCATGGCATAAAGAAGGACATACAGAATGGAACTGAATTAAGAATCTAGAAATAAACTCAGACATCTATGATCAACTGATTTTCAACAAGGATGCTAAGACTTATCAGTTGGGAAAGAATAGCCTCTTCAACAAATGGTGTTGGGACAACTCTTAGCCACATACAAAAGCATGAAATTGAACTCTTTTCTCACACTACATACAATAATTAACTCAAAGTGGTGAACACATAATACAACATGGAGATGATGTATTGTAGAATTGTACACCTGAAACCTATGTAATTTTATTAACCAACTAGAGGCCCAGGGCACAAAATTCGTGCACTGGTGTGGGGGGGGGGAATGATTGTACCATTTTATATTGAGTACCCACAATAGGCAAATCTATAGAGAAAGTAGACTAATGGTTACTTAGAGGAATGAAAGATAGGGAACTGATAGCTAAAGTGTACATTCTTTTTTTGAGGTGATGATAATGTTCTAAAATTGACTGTGGTAATGGTTTCACATATCTATGAATATACTGAAAACCACTGAATTGTGCACTTTATGGGTATATTGTATGGTACATGTGTAATAGCTCAATAAAACTATTAAAAATGTTTTTAAATAAGCCAATTAAGCATTCAATACATTAAGTTAAAAAAAATCAAAACAGCCTTGGGCGGTTTGGCTCAGTGGACAGAGCTGGTCTGGGGACTGAAGGGTCCCAGGTTCAATTCTGGTCAAGGGCACATGCCCAGGTTGCAGACTCATCCCCAGTGAGGGGCGTGCAGAAGGCAGCCAATCAATGATTCTCTCTCATCATTGATGTTTCCATCTCTCTCTTCCTCTTCTTTCCTCTCTGAAATCAATAAAAATATATTTTATAAAAATAAATCTAGGGAAACAGTAACCAATAAAAACTGAAATAATGAATTATGATGAAAAGAAATAGAATTAAATTTAAATCCAAGAGCTGTTTCCTTGGATAAAAAAATAAGTAAACCTCTAGCTATCAGATCAGGGAAAAATAAAGCATAATTACACAAAACAGGAATGAGGAATGGAAATAACCACAGATGCAATTAAAAAAATTAAAAAAGAAATACTATGTAGTACTCTATTACAATTAACTAGAAAATCTTACTGAAATTATTTTCTAGAAAAATCAGAAATTACCAAAATTAACCCGAGAAAAGCAAGTCTATATAAACTATCACCCTGAAAGAAATCCAGACTCAAAGTAGTTTCATGATTATTTTTTCAAACATGCAAGAAATATTCATGTATTACTTAAACTATCCCAGGGCATAGAAAAAAATTCCTTGTATGAAAATGGCATAATAATGAGGTCAAATTTGTCAAAGGCAGGTCAAGGGAAAAAAAATTTTTTAAACTTAAAACCATTACCATGTATAAAATATCTGCAAATAAAATGCAGTAGTTCCTTAAGAGAAAAGCACACCATAACTAATAGTTTTTATCCTAGGAGCACATGAAAAGAAAGATTAAGAACAAAGTATATATTAATAGGTCAGAAAAGATGAAGAACTGTGCAGTGTAAATGAATCTGGAGATAGGGAACAGGTTCCCCAAGGTTCCCTAGCATCCAGCACAGTGCACAGCCAGTGGGGGAGTGCTCAGTAATATATATGCTCAATGAACTGAAGACCCGCTGGAATACTTACTGGGCAACACAACTATTCCTCTTTAATGATCGACAGTCCATAGCATCACTAACCAACACAACTTTCTGTGATGATGAAACTATTTTACATCTGCACTGTCCAATAGGGTAGCCACTCGTCAAGTGTGGTTACTGAGTCCTTGAAAAGCGGATAGTACGTATTTTTAATTTATTTTTTTTTGGCTTTTAACTAATTAAGATGTAAAGAGCCGCACGTGGCTAGTGACTACTGAATTGAACACAGACAGCACAGGTCTAGTCTCTTCCACGGTTGTACTTTGTTTCCCTCTGCAGTTTACATCTCGTCCAAGGGCAGCTCTAAACAATAACCCCTGGGCTTCTGTTTTGTTCCCATAATGGACGTTGCACAGAACAGAAACTTAATAAATGATGTCAGAACTGTATAGCAAACTTGTTTTCTCCCTTAAAAAGCCATCAGTTCAACGCAAGTATTTCCAAAATCTTCAAGATCGTCAGGACCATAAAAACAGCGATAAAAACAGCTCTTTCTCCATTGCATATTATCTTGTGCTTCAGTTTTCTAGACTGTTTGGGGTTGCGGGGGCAAAAGCCTCATCCGTTTGTTTCTAAGTCGCTCCTGCTTGCTGGGGACCCCTTTTACCGCTACAAACCGGGGTGCAGAGAAGCACCATCTGCGAGGAGCCTCCGGAGACCAACTATTCACGCCGTGCACACCTAATCCACCCGGCTCCCCCGGGGGTGCCCTCCACGCGGGCAAGCTAATTCCCTAACTGCCTTCCCAGCGAGATCGCCCCTGGGGAAC